AAAAATGTGATTTCCACCACATCTCAAATGAACAACTGTGTTTGATAACATTCTGTGTTGGAAATAACACGATTGGCAATATTATCTATAGTAAGCAAAAAGCACTGTCAATGTCACCATATTATGTTGTGTTACATATTTTATTTTCAACGTTAAAAGCAACCTAATAAAATATGCATGACACTAGATATATGGCTGAAATGTAATCAAAGTGTTTGACTGTTTATCTTAAAGGGGTCATATGATGCCAAAAAGTTACACCTTCTTTCTTTGCGTGAACATTTGGGCGGCGTTATGCAAATCTTCTCACATCGTGACGTAGACATGTGGGGGCGTGTTAGAACGAGCCGTTTTAGGTAGGTGTGGCTCACTCTTAACTTTTATAAAGAATATCTCTTTGGATTTGAGACTTTAGTCTTTGCAACTTTACAGATCTTCTTTATGCACCAAGAGCTTGTAACACTCCAAAGAGAAAGGAAAAATTGAAAACGCATCATATGACCCCTTTAATACCTCTTGAAGGCCTGTAAATTGTATAAATAAATTTATAATCAATATGCTAATAGTTATAAAATTTCATTAATTTCATTTTTAAAATATTTTCAGTATTTCTACATTTCATTTTATATGAATTACATTCAAATCTGATTTGCAAGCTTTAGCAGTAAGCAGTATATATCTATTTTTGTTACACAAATATTAAAATGGATTATGTTTTTTCAATCTTTGTTTAGATTGTCATCATTTGTAAATGTGCCAATTAATATTTACTAATGAATTTTCATATTTTAAGATGGAACACTAAGACCAGAAACAAGAGTAAAACTATCAAATATATTCAAACCCGTAGAAAGCTTAATTATAGAAGTATAGTAAATCATTTTCAAGTGTTCTAATATTTAACCTTGTAAAAAATAGTTCTAAATATTTATTATAAAAACTAACCCCTGGTACACAAATAATGCTTGTAGAGGAAACACCCAGATACATGCAACAACCAAACAGTCTTGGAGATCTGCAGTATATACGCCAAAGACAGACCCAAACACAATCTATGACTGACCTTCTCCTGAAGACAGATCTTCTTCACAGGGTACATCATCATAGATCACCTCCGGACCAGCCGTCTGGTGTTCTGAATCAGCAGAGGTCTCACCTAAAAAGGAAAAAAAAAATAATAATAAAATAAAAATAGGAAATGCACGCCTAAGGACTGTGAGTTCATTAGTTTGGATGCGTTTACCATATAAAAGCAAAGAAAGAAGCCTATGAATTTTTGTGAACAGTCCCTTGACAGAAAATAGAGAACAGAGCATCAAAAACAAAACTGTTCTTCTTTGCTTGCATTTTTTATAGGATTTTATGATCTGAGAGCTGCTTCCAAAAAGCTGCAGTGCTGCTTATCCAAGCTAACACAGAGACATGCTCATAGCATTACTTCTTGTGAGTTTTCTGCTGTTTTTTGTTCTACTTATGTGATTGGCTTTACCCTGTATTCTTAGTCAACATCAATCAAAACATGTCAATGAAACTGAACTTGGCGTGCCACATTCTTTTAAAAGATTTGTTGAGAACAATTTATTCTTAAAACTACACATGCTCCGTTTCCAATTCATCAGACAGCTGCGCTCTGAACTAAAGGCAGGTCATACAGCAGAAAGCTGGCGCTATTTTAAACTATTCTACAAAAGGAAGTGAACTTATCTCACAATCCGTCACCATATCAGAATTCAGAAAACCAAATACAACTGCTTTTCCAATCGGAAAGAAGATCAGGGTGGAAACAGCCATGTGTTCTCACACCAGTAATCTCACTTGCCAACTACAGTAGCGGGATGACACATATCTATTCGAAACAGCCCAAAATTCAGCATTTAGTAAAACAACACATTTTCGTGAGGTTTACGTTGTGGTTCTACGGAGCCAAAAGGCAATTTGCAGGGAGGAAAAAAACTTTAGCGTTTGTAGCCTACGGCAAAATGTTCGCTCAACGTTTATGTAGGCCTATCAGTTCCTATATTTTTGTTTTTCTGAATAACTTTTTCTCTAAAAGTTCTGTATCATTTTGCAAGAAAATCCACAACGTTTTAAATATACAAACATGGTTTTTACATTATTCTAGCCGTTACAATAGCAAAACTGTGTAATTTTTACTCACCCTGGTCTGCCCAAACCTGTATGACATTTTCATCCGTGATACACGGAGATGACAAGATGGTGACCAATTAAGCTCCAAAAAGCCCAAGATAAAAGTGGGCTTATAAAAGTGGGCTTAATAACAGCAGTCCATGATTCGTTCATTCGGTTGATTTAGGTGAAAGACTGACCATACAGACAAACCTGCCCTATCTGGCATGTTCGCGAGAACGTCTTTGTTTACTTGCAGACAGGTGCAACAAACATCACGCCAATAAATGCGAAGAAACTACACACTATTTGTTCCGTCTATCATCAACGTGGTAGCCTACATTTGAACGTTGAACAAGAACAAAATTGTAGTATGTACAATAGCCTGCTATAGAGGCCTATCTCGTCTTCACACTTCAAGCATGTGGATTTCTAATGGATTTCTTATGCGCACGCGAACTTCATTTTTTCCTTCAAATGTTACTTTAAGCTACGTTCTGATGATACACTTGCCATTTTGTATAACACTGATTTATCAATAGTGCATTCTTGTTTTTACATATAATGAAGAAAGAAACAAATAAAGCCAACAGTGTCACTCATTTTTGAATATTCAAGTATTACTTAGTATTTAAAACTGTGAGACATTTGATTCTTTTTTTTTTTAATCTCTTACCTTCAGCATTTTGTGCTGGGCTTGGTCTGATATCCTGTGTTCCTGTGTCAGTTTTAACAGTGCCTGTTTCCCTCTCGGTCTTCACCTCAGTGCAAGTCTGGTCTTCCTTTTCATTTAAGTCCTCTGGTGCAGCAGAGACTGTGGAAGCTTGGTCTCTAGAACATTCCCCAAAAATAGAGCCATATTATTGCTGACCTCTCGAGGGTATAGCCGTACTGAGATCAGCTCAAGCAGACTGGGTGGTGGGTGGTAGGAGAGAAGGGGAAGAGTTCAGATGCCCGCCGCCACCCCATATAGTGAGTATCACAAAAAGCACTTGTGTTTCATTATAAGTGCTACAGTGTTTGGTGTGGAGGACTTAAGCTTTTGAAAATGGAAATAAGATGGAAATGGGGTTTTTCACAATACCGAGACAAATAACCAATGCAATAAGAGTTATTTTATCTTCATAGAATTTGATTAAATTGAAATAAATGTTTATAATATTATACAAATACTAGTACAGCAGGCCAGTCAACCCAGTAGTGGTGGTGCTTATGTCAACTTCATTTAACTACAGTAAATTCAACCATCTATGAGCTGTGGTACACAAAAAGTGTTAGTTACAAGGAAAGAAGATGATGGAAAGTCTGTCAATGGAATGATGTTGTCATGTTACAGCATTTCTGGTCATTGAAATGTATTTCAGCATTCAGTTTCAACAGTCTACTACACGTTTTAATAGTGCTTTTGAGAGCCATCATCTATTGCCTCCAATGACACATCATCGCACATGCTTATATCAATTCACACCACCCTTTACTTAAAATTTTGAGGGCAGTGATGCACTTCTCATGCAACAAGGTAAACATGCCAAGTGCAAAATATAAATAAGCTCGGTAACTTCATAGAAAGCATGACATACATCCTTTTAACTGCAGTTATTCCATGTAAAAGTGTGTGGAATGGCATCATAAAAGCTGGCTGTCAGAGCTAATCTCACAAGCACTCAGTTGCTAGGGGAAAGAGCAGGTGTTTTGCAGTAGAATGCACATAAGACAGCTGTGAGCTCTGTGCGTCTCTTCTCACTACAGATGTACATTTTCTTTTCCACTCCTACAAAACACACTTCTCCCCTGGTTAACGGGGGAAAGATGTTGCATGGGTATATTTACCTGCCTCTGCTTTGTGAACATATTGGAAACAGGGTTACAGATCCTTTTTCTCTGCAGCTCAAAACACAGAACTTCTACTTGCAACATTTGTCCCACAAGGCCCTAAACAGTCTGACTTTCCATATTCTTGATTGCAAAGCAAGTTATTATACTATGCTATATAATTTAATTGATGCATTGTTAGTAAAAAAGGCGTTAAATAGGTTCTACTATATTCAGCTTCTAACAGAGGTGGAACAAATTGCTTGGGAGAATACACAGGAAATAAATACAAACTGAATACAATATAAACTGAATCAGACATGCTGAAATAGCAGCACATCAGTGTAAAAAGTGCTGACACACCCCACCAACTGAAAAAGCTATTGATAGCTCCAACCTGCAGCAGTATCGACAACTTCATGTTGAAAACATCCATTCAGCAGAATATAACGGTAGCATAAACTGAAAAAGGTCTCATTTTGAATACAACTTTCACCACAGCAAAGCTCACAGGAATGATACTGCCAGATTTTTCTATTATCATGCATTTCCTCATAACACAACAGAACTAAACTGGGCCATTTCCTGGCATGCAGTTCACCATAAAGATACATTTAAATTAAGTAATGTGCAGGTTATCTAGATTTTAAACCACTTGAAAATGGTTTAATGCAGGGGTGCCCAATCCTGCTCCTGGCGATCGACTGTCCTTCAAAGTTCAGCTCCAACCCTAATCAAACACACCTGAAGCAACTAATAAATGTCTTCAGGATCACTTGAAAATTAAAGGCAGGTGTGTTTGATTAGAGTTGGAGCTGAACTTTGCAGGACAGTCGATCGCCAGTAGCAGGATTGGGCACCCCTGGTTTAATGCGTTTAAGAATCTGTTGATTCACACAGCACAAATTATATTACATTCCAAATCATCACTCCAATACTCCAAGAAAAAGAACATTTTAGATCAACATTACAAATGAATGCATTAGATTTTTACAAAAACACAAAAAAAATATACAATATTAAAAAATAAATGGCACCAACCAAATATCACTTGACATACTATGACACCTGAAACAAATAATGATCCATTAGAGGTTGCCGTGACAACCGATTGGTGCGAGATAATAATCTAGTAAACTGTGATTGGTGATTGGTAGAGGGCAAGCACTATAAAAATACCAGTTTAGTATTTAGTAACAAAGTTACATGTTTGGGTAAAAGTTTTTATTCTTTCTTTTTTTTTCTTTTTGATGCCTGGTTGAGGGTAGTATTTGGCTTGATATGGGTACTACTACAGTGCAAATTTTAAGGTATGTTTAGTTTATGGATTTGCTGATTAACTCAAACAACTTTACTGACTGCGTTAAAGTGTTTTGCAGTTACTAAAAGTAACTGTTTTGCAGTTTTTCTTTGGCAGTACTTTTAGGCCTTGGTGTTCATGACAGTATTGTGACTGGTAAGTTTATCTAGTTGAATTATGTAATTTAACTTTGTCAAAACTGTCTTGATGTTTTCTGTAGTTGATGGCTATAGCCCTGTCAGCAATGGAGGCAATCCTGGATATTACAACCCTGATATCCCAAAAAATGGTCAACCCATGGAGGATGTTAAACTACAAACATTTTACAACTGGTATGGCTTAAGAGATGTAGCAGGACCAATCAGGCCTCTGAGTTCTAAGACTGTAATCTATAGTGCTGCAGTTAAGGGAGGCTATGGTACTGGAAGCTACAGTTCTCAGACTGGCTTGTCAGGTGGTCCAGTGGCAAGTGGAAGTTCTGGTTCAGACACCAGAAGCTGGCTTCAGGGCTCTCAACTTGCTTCAGCTGGACGTGGTAGTGTTGCTCATGGCTCTGTGGGTAATGCAGTAGGTATGGGCATGTCAGGGTATGGCTTAAGTCAATCAGTTGGCATTCAAGGCTCTGACACTATCCATTCTTCCTTGGTCTTGACGCCATTGCAGCAAAGCACTGATTCTGTTCTAAGCCAGTGCAGCTAACTTCCCAAATTCCTCTGCAGACCAGCAGGGACTCTCAGGCAATGCCTGACACTCAACAGCTAGTGCAGACAATCTCCCAGTCCAGTGGTCCGCAACCAGCACAAGCCAGCTCTGGAACCATGGCACAGTCTAGCTCCGTGCAGTTAACCCAGATCACTGGCCAGCAATTAGCACAGGCTAGCTCCCTGTCTGCATGGCAGTCAAGCAGAAAACCTCTTAAGCCTCTAAGAGATCAATTTTGGCGACCTGGTTCCAAGCTCTTTTCAGGTTTCAGGCCAGTTCAGAATCCAAGCTTTGGGTTTTTCATGCCTTTGCCCCCCTGAAATGAATCCGTGTCACAACCTAGCTACCAAATAGTGCAACACAGCAGTGAGTTGAGCAGCCCTCCGGTAGCTCAGACTAACGATGCACTTGTGAGTCAGTCTTTTGGCCAGCAATTAGTCCAGTCCAGTGGCCAGCAACCAGTACAAACTAGCTATGAAACTGTAGCTCAACCAAGTATCCAACAACTAGCACAGGCCATCCAGCCTAGCAGTGAACAACCAGCACAAGCCAACTTTCAGTCTATGGCCCAGGCCAGTAGCCAGCAACTTCCACAAGCCACTGACTTGTCTGTGATTCAGCCCAGCAGCCAACAACTAGCTCAAGCCAGTTCTCAGCCCAGTGGACAAGTACAGGTCCGCTATGTGTCTGTGGCTCAGCCCAGCAGCCAGCAACTCTCTCCGGCCACTGACTTGTCCGTGTTCCAGCCCAGTAGCCAACAACTAGTGCAAGGAAGTGGCCAGTCTGTAACCCAGGCATCCAGCCAGCAGCTAGTTCAGGCCAGCCAATCTGTTTCCCAGTCCAGTGGCCAGCAACCAGCAGGGGCTAGCTATATATCTGTGGCACAGCCCAGTAGCCTGACTCTTTTCAAGCCCAAAAAAGGTAGGCTTCAATATGGCTCCAAGCTCTCTTCTGGTACCAGGCCACTCCAGAAACTGAATTATATCACACTTGTTCAGTCCAGTAGCCTTCCAGCACAAAGCAGCTATCCATTTGAGTCTCAGGCCAGTGTCCAACAACCAGCACAAGCCAGCTACCAGTCTGTGGCCCAGCCTGTTTTCCAACAACCAGCACAAGCCAGCTACCAGTCTGTGGCCCAGCCTGTTTTCCAACAACCAGCACAAAGCATCTACCCATCTGAGTCTCAGGCCAGTGTCCAACAACCAGCACAAGCCAGCTACCAGTCTGTGGCCCAGCCTGCTTTCCAACAACCAGCAGAAAGCAGCTACCAGTCTGTGGCCCTGATTGCTCTCCAACAACCAGCACAAGCCAGCTACCAGTCTGTGGCCCAGCTTGCTGTCGAACAACCAGCACAAGCCAGTTACCCATCGGAGTCTCAGGCCAGTATCCAACAACCAACACAAGCCAACTACCAGTCTGTGGCCCAGCTTGCTGTCCAACAACCAGCACAAGCTAGCTACCCATCTGAGTCTCAGGCCAGTGTACAACCAGCACAAGCCAACTACCAGTCTGTGGCCCAGCTTGCTATCCAACAACCAGCAGAACGCCGCTACCCATCTGAGTCTCAGGCCAGTTTCCAACAACCAGCACAAGCCAGCTACCAGTCTGTGGCCCAGCTTGCTGTCCAACAACCAGCACAAGCCAACTACCAGTCTGTGTACCAAACTGTTAGGCCACTGGTTGCACAAGTCGGCAGCCGACAGTCAGCAGGAGCCAGCTACTCTGTGGCTCAGCCAAGCAGCCTGCAAGGAGCACAATCCTGCTACCAGTCTGTGGTCCAGCATGGCACCCAAATGGATTTAAAGCCAGTGCAGGCCCAAGGGGGACACATTTATCAGATTGGCTCCAAACTTTATTCATGCCAGGAGTATATATCTCAGCCCAATTACCAGCTTGCAGCCCAACCAGGACAGAATTGGTATCCGCCTCCATCCAGACTAGTATCTTCATTCTTAGCTCAGCACATCAAACCTGTCGTACAACATGGATACTGGGCCCCAGTAAAACCCAGCAGACATCCTGGACCACTGCAATCAACACTCCTGTCCACTTTCAGACCAGCACAGCTGCCGGAACAGCCTAGCTACCAGCCCCCAGTCCTTCCAAGTCAACAGCCTCTAGCTAAGCCTGCACTGCCTAGTTATGGTTCTGTGTCACAGCCCAGTGGACCTAAATCTGGAACTTTGAGACTATTGCAACAGCCTGGCTACCAGCCTCTGGCCAAGCCAGGGCAAGATGTGCATCAGCCCCCATTTAAGCCAGAACCTTCCAGCTACCAGCCTCAAATGTTGCCTAGCCGCCAGTCACTATCCCAGTCTGGTTACTCTTCCCCAGTCATGCCAGCACAGTCCAGTTACCTGGCACAGTCAAGTTCTGAGACGGTCTCTCCGTCTGGGTGCCAGATCTCTTCCATTGCACGGCAGTCAAGTTCCCAGCCTCAAATGCTGCCTAGCTGCCAATCGCTAGCTCGGTCTGGCTGCTCCTCCCCAGGCGTTCCAGTGCAGTCTAGTTTCGAGCCCCAGGTACAGTCGAATTCTGAGACCGTATAACAGCCTGAGTTCTAGACCTCCTATGCTTGGGCAGTCAAGTTACCAAACTGTATTCAGATCATGTTCCCAATCCCTGGAGCAGCCCAGTAGTCTCTTTTTCAAATTCTGTGTCCGAGTCAGTGCAACCTGGAATTTGGTATTCCGCACAGTTGAATTATCTGCCTGTCACAAACCAAAATGCTCCTGGACCAGCTCAAAGTAGCCAGCATTCGTACCAAACCAGTTTCAGGCTTTTGAAACGAGTGAAGTCATAGCTACTAACTTGTGTTTGCAAATTCCTGGTTTTGGCTTGTTTGCTTTTAAAGTTTTGAAACTGTCAATAAATGTCATTAGCACGTGTCTTTGTGGGAATTCTTCTTACCTTTTGTTGGTAGTTGATACATCTGTAACGAAAAGGGGAAAATTGGAATATTTTACATAATTTAGTAGTTTAAGTTGGCTAATAAGTTCCACTGAACATTAAGACTTCCCAAGTTTAAGCAGGTACATGCCAAAATAAGTTCTCAGCTTATGTATAGCAAAAGCTTGCCTTGAAATGGTAATATTTCCCTACTATGTGTTTTGGTAATTCCCAATACTAAAAGGAGTTCCTAGGTGAATATAATGTGTGGAAATGACAAAGTAGAAACTTACTAGTCTTGTAATAACTGGTACACTCCTGACCAGCAGGAGAAACTGTAGAGACTGCTTGGGATAAATTATCAGAATGTTTTTCCTGAGTCACTTCCAAGTCACTTGAATGTGTCTGAGGCTCACTGCATTTTGCCGTTTCATCTCCAGAGGTAGTTTTGCACTTCTGTTTGCTGATCTCCTCAAAATTGAATTTTTCTTTCTGCTCTTCTTCCTCCACATCCTTTTCCAGGTACTGGTGAGCTGTGGACATAGGCTCTGTACAAAAAAAAAAAAAGGCGAGTCAAATGTTACTTTGTACATCATACTACACTGCATGTAGGTCTTTTACTTGCTGTGTGTGTGTGTGTGGGGCATGGATTTATGACAATTACATCACCTACTGTTTGGTTACGCATTGAAAAAAAGTTATTGTAAATTGTTATTGTATGAATTGCAAGTTTGTGTATCACTTGGGCATACTATTTTGGATCAACAATATAAGATCACGTGAAAATGATGTCATCAAATTGTAATTATAGGCAACCCTGCTTTTTTCCTCCCCCTCGTAAACCACTATACACAGTTGATTAGACATTCTTTAGTTATCACGTCTATACACTGTCAAAAAATAGCTTAATTTAATGAGTTGCACCATTTAAGGCAAAATACTGCCTCATCCCACATTTGGCAGTTTAATGACCTCACAATTGTTTCCTTTGTTGGCACAGTTCCATGCAGTGATACATCTGCTGATATTGCCTTTTGGTAGATGACCTCAGTATCCACAAGGACATGATTGTACAGGAATTACTTTATTTAAAACTATAGGGATAAGGGAATAAATTGCAGATAATAAGGTTTTATGTGCAGAACACAAATGATGTCACAACCAGGCATACAAGGTAGAATATCAATTGTGTTTAATTTATTATCCAAAATCTATGTTTGCAATGGAATATTATAAGCTTAAAAGGACTACAAAAAATTGGTTTCCATAAAGGTACAATCAGATTATTTTTTTTTATCTACATTCTTAGACAGTAATGCATCACTAATTAACCCCATTAGGCAGGCTCACTAGAATCAATAACTAAGTGTATGTCTTGTACAAAAATGCTAATGTAATATAGGGAGTCTAAACACCAGACATGTTTTTCAGAATATACCCTATTCATGTGTGTCCATTCTGATAAAGCCATTGTGTCCAAGGCCTTCTGTCCCTTACAGTGGACCACAAAGACAGTTTCTCAAGCAAGCCCACTTCATGTTACACCACACACAATGGCCCTCTTGTGATGAGACCTTGGAACAAACTCACAAAGCGTTGTTTCTGCATTCATCACTGAGGAATGCCTGGCTGTTTGTTAGATCACAAGTCAAAAGGTCAGTGGTATGTGATGTGAGAAATGGTGGGACCAAGCACTGCTAAAGAGAAAGGATCATCTGTCTCCGATATTTCATTCATTTGATAACAATGTATGAAATAACAGTCTCAACCAAAGAGAATCACAGGAAATTGACATCATGACGATGCTGATTGGCTGATGGCACCACAAATGTGCACAGTCCCCCCCAAAAATACTTAAACGTATATTTTTATGAAGCAGACCATGAACTTATTTTCTCATGGTGTAATGCAGCATTACGATTGGCATTAAAGTATTGAGGCAGACTGGAATTGACTGCACATTAGTTAAGACCAATCTGCATCAATATTCAAAGCACAGAGCATGGATATCCAGAACCTCTGTCAGTTGTGGTTTATTGGGAGAAATAACCCTAAAAAGTCTCATGGAAAAGAAATAAAAAAAAAAAATCAATAAAATCTATTGTTTCAGCGTTCCGATTAAATTAATAACTCATCACAATATTTTAGGAGAAACATCTGAGACAAACTTAATTTTGAAACATACCTGAGAACTCCATGAAGTCTGCCAAAATATGAAAGTCAAACCAATAATATTTTCCTTGGGGGCAGTGTAAATGTGTTATTTACCTGAACTTGGAAGAACATTACTGCAAAATTTATTGTAACTGTGTAAACAGTTCTGATTTGCTGTTCATGTTGTAAAGCATATGTTGTTCTGTTTTCACTCTCTTGAAGAAGTGTAGCACCCTTAATAGTGGGTATTTGTGAAGAGATGTTATGCTAAACTTATTTTATATACTGTAGATTTCAGTAAAGATTATTTGCTCTTGATATGTCTCTTCTGTCTTCCCAAAGACAATACTATATAACTAAAATAATATATTGAAGTTAAGTTTTAAACTAAAATCTTTTTAATTTCATTTGTAACATTTAGAGTTTAAATTATTTAAGAATGATACAAATGTAATCTATGTAAATTTATTTAATGTACTTGCATTCTCCTGAATAGAAAATTCAGAATAGAATGCTGACCTTTACATGTTTATTGATAGGTAAATCAATAATAAATATGATTTACCATGATGGTCCCTGAAGTATCAATACCTGTCTGTGTTTGCATCTGCCTAATTTGCCTAGCTTCATCTACAGTACAGTAAATAACAGATGAATTTGAACTGAAAAAATTTGATTGGATTTATGATTGGATTTTTTATGTCAACCCCAATAAAATAAGAAGTGTTTAATCAATAGGCCTACCTCTCTGGGGGAAAAAACAAAACAACTATAACCTACTGCATCTTCTACCCCCTGGTGGATTATTCACATTCTTTTTTTTATCGTCATGATGTATGTCTGCTGATTTTTAAAACAGCAACATAACAACAGCATTTACATTGTTATTGATCGATATAAGAATATTCACAGCATTGAAGCAACTTTTGTACACTATTATATTACATATTTACATTTGTGTTGTTTTCCCTGCAGCCTTCAACCCATTTTTAAGTTGCAAACCACCAGCTGACAACCACCGGTTCTTGCTAATAAAACTATGGAGGCAACAGTGTATCAACGCAAGGAGGAAATGTCCTTTTCCGCTTCTTATCAGTATCCCAAGAGTCTGTCGCATTGAATAGCTGGAGTTACAACAAGACAGCTCAGGGATATGCTGACAGTGATTCATGATGTCATCCTTGTCCACAGAGTATTAAATCAGGACATGTGCACAGGATGAATGAATGCAGTGCAAAATATTAAAATACAGTATGTCAGATAATAAAATAAGGTTGTGTTGTAACTTGTGACTGTTGTTTGCACGTGTATTTCTATCTTCCACAATCTCCTTTCTTAATTTTAGCAGGATGTATGAACAAAAACACCAGTGCGTTCTGACTTAATGGCCGGTTCCATGGAACTGCACCTTATACCCTTCTATTTAAACTGCAGGATGACTGTGTCCACACCTCTACATGTCCTCTATTGTCACAATTGCACATACTCAAAATGTGCCAGGTCAGCAGTGGCTGATTCTGCAGACCACAGACATGCAAGGATGCATTATTCATCCTTGGGATTGTCTATAATTCACTTTTAAATTAATAGTTGACAATAATTGCCAAGCTCCACTGTTTTATTAGTTTTAAAGATGCTTAAACCATTATCCATGCTTTTGTCACATCCCACCTTGATTATTGCATTGCCCTTTTCAGTGGTTTACCTGCCAGTTCCGTATATTCAAAATTCTGGTGCTAGACTACTCACCCACACCAAGCACTCTGCCTACATCACTCCAATTTTGTTAAATCTCGATTGGCTTCCTGTTGCATATCGTATTAAATACAACATTTTCCTGCTCACTTTTAAATCGTTGCACACCCTGGCTCCCCGGTATCTCTGTGAACTGCACCTCCCATACATCCCAACTCACTCACTACGCCCCTCGGATTCTGGTCTACACCCAGACTCTGGAACTCTCTCCACCGATCTCTTAGCTTGTCAATACTATTCTTGAATTTAAATCACTTCTTAAAACTCGTGTTTGTTTATTATACTGAGGTTCTTCTTTTCTAATTGTATCTTCACTGTAAAGTGACCCTGAGCACTGGAAAGGCGCTATATAAATAAAACGTATTATTATTATTACTATTACTATTATTATTATTATTATAGTATGTTAAAGTCAGGATGAAATGAAAGTTTGGTCAATTTATTTAAATGCATGTTATAGATCTTGTAAACAATTTTTGTGTGCATATATTTTTTATTTAGGAAAAAATCTTTGAACTCATAATATTTAAAGCAACATCACATTAATAAGCAACAAAAAAACAACAACATGATAATATAGTAAAAATTCATCAATTATTAAATGTTTCAAAGTTCATAAATTATGGAACAAATTCAGCTCGAATCAGTTCAATCTTGATTCAATTCAGTTCAATAACAGTGTCAGTGTTACAAAGTTAGTCATCGTCTAGCTCAATTCAGTTCAAATTTTGTTCTCATCTGATAAGTGCTGTTAAAGCAATAATATTACTGAATATTTATCATCATAACTGGACCTTTCAATGAAAATGACAGGCTTCTCTGTCATACTCTCCAATCAGTTATTGTTCATTTGCCTTTATTTAAAATCCATCAACAGCTGGTGCATAAAATCAAGTCGCACATTACATTTTTCCTTCTTCTTTTTTTTTGGTAGTTATAGTCAGATTATCGGTACAATACAAAAAAAATAAAAATAAATAAAAAAACTAACATCTGTTGCTACTTCTGTTTCACTGCAACTTTAAAATAAAATGCAGAGTCACCATGTGTAAATGACTGGAGCAAGGAATTCCATTGGCCACCTGATAATAGTGATGCCAAAACACATATAACCATAAAACACACAACAAAGAGAGTCATGTAACATGTCATTGTTCAGTCAGATTGTCCATTCACATCCTCAGACCTTCAAAGCATGATGTGGTTTGGCATGCACAAATTCAAAAGATCTGTTCAGTTCTGCCTTTAAGTCTATAGAAACAATCACATAAACGTTCAAGCTCCTCTTTCACCTTCTGAACATATAGTGTTTCGTGTCTCTCATGTAGTTGCGTAATGTGTTCTCAGACAGGGCAGAGGGCTTTGTACAACACCTTTGACTTTCTGAAGACTTACTCACACGCCTCAGGGTGCCAGACGGAAACCTTCAAATTCTCATTAACATGTGGTCGAAGCGGGCCCAAACCCACTTTGGATTGGAGAGACCACTGACAGGGTGCGTTTCTACTGCAGCTCTCTCGGACATGCATAGACTGCTAACGACTCTGAACTGTCATAGGGAAAAAAGGAGGGAAACGTAACATGGCCCATTTTTAAACTATCTAATTCTGGAAGCGTAAAAGGAAGTTGGTGAAAGTTGAGTGGCAGCTAGATGCAGATTAGGAGTGCTGGGGTTGTGAGGCCCCTCAGTACTACACAAAGTGTGTGATTATGGATCTTATGTTGGAATTAGTCCATAAAAGCTGCTCTAATTTATCTCTAAATCAGATATGTGGTCATACATAGAGTTTGAAAATATTAAACAATTCCCAGTTCGCGTTTAGCACCTCAGAGTTGCATCTGTGTCAGAAGTTCTGCTGGTTAGCAATGGGTTAAAGGGATAGTTTACCCTCAAAAATCATTTCCTAACCCTCATATTGATTCAAAGCTCTTTGACTTTCATTCTTCTGTAACAGAAAACAAGTGGATATTTAGAAAAATGTCTCAATATGGGACTTCCATTGTATAGACAAAACCATTTGAAATGTATCAAAATATCATCTTTTGAGTTCCACTGAAAGTCATACATGGTCTGGGATGACATGAGGGTGAGTAAATGATGACAGAATTTTATTTTTCTCTTTAACGGCCTGTGAGAGGGTTTAGGGAGGTTTATAAGATCCCACTGTTTCCCAACGAGCCACTGAAATTAGGGAGAGTGCACAGCCGCCTCTTCTCCTACCCCCACTCTAGAGAAAAGACCCCTTTTCATGGTGCCCCTGCCTTTGTTGCATGAACGAGAAGCAAACTTAGAGCATTAGTGTGCACAAGAAAAGTGAAATTGATAGACCAATAAACAGCACAACTCACCTTTTTGTCCTCAGTAGTACTTCCACAGGAAAGCTTCAGCACCTCCCAAGAGGGACTTTAATCCCAACAACCTCCCATGCACTTCCTGCTATGAAATCAGCTGCCTCCTTGAACACATCCTCATCCTCCGTTTATCCGCTGCTGCCGGACTGAGGCCTCTGAGAGGGCGGCAAATACCCTGTGCTGTTTACTTTCCCACAGGCAGCAAGTTCCCTACTCCATGCACTAACCGCTCCACTCCTCCTTGCTCTCGTAGGCTGAATTAGCCCCCCTCTTCCCCCGGCTTCTGTCACTCCCTTCTTTTCTCTCGTTCCTTCCCTCCCCTGCTGTTGGACAGTTACAGCCCTTCTGAACAAGTATAATGGCTGTTAAGCTCCACCAATGGCTGAGCTGTTGGCAGACTTGTCGTCCAGTTAAAGTCAGGTTAGATGACCAAGGGGCAGGGTCTAGAGAGCTAAAGGGAAAAACAGAGTACGACAAGCCTGGAAGGGAGGGAGAGAGAAGATAGAAACAGAGACGGGGATTACACCATCTCTAAGCTGGCCAAAAGTGGAATCAATAGTATTAGCTAAGTGGGTGACCATACCACAGTATTGTGCAAACTCTGCAAAACACAATATTATAATATTTCAATATTATAGATATTATAATATATATATATAAAGGATATGTTACATGCAGTGCAATGTACAAAAATTTTATACCATTTTATAAATTATATAAAAATTCATAATTTATAAATAAATTATGTCTTTGAAAAGCATTTTAAATAATACAATTTGAAAAATACTTTTTGAAATGATTATTTTGAAAAACATTTGTATTGTTCTGTAAATATATGAGAATTAACTGTAAAAACAAAAACAGTAAACCTTATTTTAGATTTTTTATTATTATTATTATTATTACTACTACTACTATTATTATTATTAAAACACTATGGTTCTTAAAACATTAAAAACTATTTTTGTGTGGAAGGCATGTAACATTTCAGTACCTAATTTTCTTAGGTAAACGGTTGCATTCATTTAAGTAGAACAAACGCGAATAAACATAGATTTATGAAATATTTACACAGAAATTTAAATATTTATAGGACCCATTAAGAAAATACACTGTGTGCAAAGTAAAATAGTCATAGATCCTACAATGGACTTACAAGACTGTGGGATGGTTAAAAATGTTTTCTTTTCTATTTTATTTTATGAATTTAATGTAACATTTATTCATGATAAACTTCATTCGAATGCTGTCTACATCACGTGTAATACAGTCTGGTAGCCTAGGCCTATGGTTAATATAATTTAATAATGTAATCATTTCTATAATAATAAATTATTCAAAAATAAAAATTCTGTAATAATTTATTCCCCTCAAAGTTGTTCCAAACCTGGAACAACTTGAGGGTGAGTAAATGATTACAGAATTTTCATTTTTGAGTGAACTATCCCTTTAAGTAAACGTATGTATTGCATACTCCAATATGCTTAAGGTATCGAAAGTAAAGGTATGTACGGTATTGTTCTGAAAAAGAACTGGTCAGGATGGTTTTGCATTAATATTACTGCTGCACTACTGTGTATGTTGCATTTTACTTATGAATATGTTCAAGGTTGTTACATTTAAAGTAGCCTACTTCATATACTGTTGGGTAGTTTAAGCTACAACAATGCATCATGTTGTAAAAGACCATATTTTTGTAGTGTTGCTGTCCTGTGGAGAAAAAAACGTAAGTACTACACATTTGTACGAGAATACTTAAAGAATGTACTTCCTAACAGTCCACCACTGATTATTTTGAAAATGAAACTAACAACATTTATTGTCAGAATATTAACAAATCGTTGCTAACTACAGCTGCGTCCCATATCAAAGGCTGCATCGTTCAGAAAACTGTTCAGTTGTGACAGATGCCGCTGAACAATGCTCAATTTTTTTTTTTTATTTACAGTTTTATTTTTATGGTTAACTAAAAATCAGGGTTGCAAACCTGCCTACATGTGTTCACCATGGTCAAGACAATAAACTAAAATCACACCTTTGAAAGATATCAGCTGGCATTGGAACTGCTGTGTGTTTGTGTGTGCGTGTATTTTGTATTTTTTCATATGTATCATTATATTATTCAAGTAAGTTCCAACCCAATACTTGCATTTAAAGTTGTCCGGCAATTAAGGACGCAGCCTCTGAATTGGGACGCAGCAAACCAGTGTAACTTACCTGGCCATGGTCTTGAGGTACATCACCCAGCGCCGCTGTGGGTGAAACATTCCCACCATCTCCTCCATTATGACGTAAAACATAAAAACAAAAATCCTTCATTCAGCTGAATTTGAAGGATTCATGGAATGTATTCTTCGCAACCTTTAATCACCCACAATCCTTTGTACACATTCCATTTCATGAAAATAAACTGACAAAAAACGAGTCAGTACTGTCTGAATTTATTATGACATGTAAGACAAAAATAATGTTTTCGGACATGACAGCATAGACGTTATCTTTTCTTTTGGTGTAAATTACTCAAACGCTAAACGGCCAATAATGTAAGCCACTGGGAGACTGTAGACAGCTGTGATTCAATGTATTGCATTAATTGAAAACCAAATAATATAAAGATTTGTAATACAACGTATTTTTCCAAAACTAATTTTTGTTAGTATTTTTGTGCCGTGACGGTGAGGGTGGGAACCAAGCGGCAACCTCCCGCTCTCTCTCATGAAGCCAACATGGAAGTGACTTAAACTGTAATTCATCAACTGGCCGCTAGAGGCTGGCCTCAAAAGGGAGTCAATCCCATAGACTCCCCATGTTAAAATGCCCAACTTTACAGCAGAAAAAAACATGTTTACAACCTGGTTCAAAAAAAGATTTTGGTTTATATAGCTAATTTTGCCCTTCATGACAACTGTGAGGGGGGTGAATTTTTTTATAACTCATCCGTTTAAAGTATATTAAGCCTCAAAGTTCTGCATAATTAAGGGCGTGGCCACTTGAGTGACAGGTGGATTGCCGCTGCTGTCACTACCGTCGAGCTAGGTGGGCGTGGCTTCAGCAACCTGCTCCCGCCTCTTTGCCCATTTTCGATTATCCGGGAGTGACGCACTGCCAAGATGGCGACGGCCGGCTCCGCCCACTTTTGAGCTTCAAAAACGCTCTTGGGAAATCTACGGGTGACGTCACGGACACTACGTCCATGTTTTTATACAGTCTATGGTGGGAACATATGTGACGTAGCCACGCGCACTTACTAGACCAGTGCTTCTCAAACCCGCCTCCATTTCGTATTTCAAGAACACTAATGTCCTACTTTGATAAACGAATGTTAAACTTGTAAATCATAAGTTTAGTTTTTTATTGTCTTTTTGGAGATGTTCCGAAATGAAAGCAAAGGCGAGATATTGAAACTTTTCCTTCATGACATTTGTTGTCGTGACATCCAGTGAGCGTATGACGTTTGACATAATCGGACATTTCACCGCTAATATGAGTACTTTTTTTGTTTTGTTATCACTTAGATTATGGGCATTTGACTTATAGCAGTGTCCAGTGTTTCCCATACATTGAATTATTTGTGGCGCCTGTCACAAAATCAAAACTGACCGCCACAAACAGATTTTCCAAAAGGATTCTAACTACTTCGTTGAATAAACTGAGCACTGCACGTTTCAAAATTAAAATGCAGCGCTGGTGTTTTTATATGAATGTATAATTGAAAAGAACCGACCGTCTTCAGAAAAGCTTTGAT